GTGCCTGAATGATGGGAAACATTTCTTATCAGTGTTGAAAACAGTTGTGCTGCTTTTTTTTGTAACAATGTAAAAGTCTTTACTGTCACTTTTGATTATTCTTACAGAATAAAAGCATTCATTTCTTTGGTGATGTCAGCTGAAAAGAAAAGTAATTTTTGGAGACACAAGATATTATATTTTGATTACATTTTTTCTATAGTGTTTGTTCAATGATTAATTGTTCTAAATATTACAAGAGACATGTATTAAAAAGGTCATTTTGACTTCATGTTGACTTGATATAATCTACATTAATCTATGCAATATGGGATCATCACGATTCACTTTTTTTTCAGTAGATGTTTAAGACCATCAAAAATACACATAAAAACTCATGTAATGTCATGTTTTATGCACACTAATGCCCATAATTACACACCATTACACTTTAAATTCCTCCGTCGCTTGCATGGACCTGTTGTTTTATAATCGACTCCTTGTGCGATCCGAAAGCCTAAAGCTTTATTTAACTCTGTCAATTAAATAAACAAACAAACCATTAAAACAGAACAAACATCCACAGTGGTGACATGGGGGGCTTTTCCTGCCTGTGACAGCATGCTTGGCTGCCCCCACTGAGTGCTGTTTCTTGATAGCAGTGTTTGCACTGTAAAAAGGCCTCAGCGTGTCTTTCTCTAATTGCTAACATGTGTGAGTGTGATTCTGATCGCTAAACATGCTGAACTAGTATTGAACACCCTGTTTTTTGGTGGTAAGGTAACATACAAGGGATAGTATGTGTAACTTTCATTATGCTTTAAATTGTAAAGATACAATTTTTCTACACCTATATTGTAAGTTGCTGAATAGTAGTTGTTGTGTTACTTTACGTGGGCATTCATATGTTAATTTGCTTAAGGTTGTGACGTCATAACTATACTGATTTCTGAATGAGCTGTTTTACAAATGAGCTATGCGTTGTGATATTTAGCATATGTTTGCATAGTATTTACTGTTCAAAGAGCAAGAACAGTCTTATTTTCCATAATGTGTCCCTTTAGTGCATACTTTAGGGGAGCAGAGGAAATGACATTTATATGACACATGAGTGTGCTGTGAAGGGAATTTGTGTCTCTCAGACTTGGACTGGGTGTTTGTCAGTGGTATTATTGTACATCAGTAATGCATACCCCTCAGGGGAGAGCTAATCACTGGGGATTGTGCTGTAGACCAAAGTGTGAGGAATTCCTGTCCCATTCCATGAATGGGCCAAACTGTGGGATGACAATGTCAGATCGGAAACAGAAAGAATAAAAAACACCAGAAAGGGATTTAGGCATCAACATATTGTTCTTCTACAAATCTATTTGATGACGCATCCACACATGTTTCAAAAGAGATTTTGTGCCTAGCTTTTGTTTTCTTTCAATAAATCATGTGTGAAATGGAAGCTAGCGGAACAGCTTATGTCAGTTAATGCTGGCATTATCTGCCAGCTCTACTCAATAACACACATAGACAACATCTTTCATCATCACAGCTGAATGAAGGAACACATAGAGAGTGAATTATAGGCTTTCCAGGGGCCCATTTCAACCCTCTACGCACACCTTGGCAATATAATCGCCATTGGCTAGTCATTTTTTTTGTTTACTCACCAGACTGATATGCTATTTTACACACACACACACACACACACACACACACACACACACACACACACACACAGCGTGGTATGCAAGACTCTCGCTCTCTCTCTTTGCATGTGTGAGAAACACAGCGCTATCAGTAAAGCGACGGCGAGTCGTGCGCCTTCACACTAGTTTACGGTACGTCAAATACAGGTGCGCTGCGTGCTACATACTGTGCATCCATTGAGTACATGACATGATCCATTGAGCGCATCCAAATAGTACAGATCGCTTGACGGAGAGCGAAACTCTCAAGTGCTCAGTCAGCGTGTTTATCGAGTGAAAATCTGTGTTGAACGCCTCTCACACACATACTGGTGTGTAAAATCTAAGAATTTATTAGCCAATGGCTAATGTTAGACATTATTTAGTCGCCCAGAGTAAGATTTAGTCGCATATGCGAGTGATTTACTCGCAATGTAGAGGGTTGCAATTTCAATAAGGAGGTTCAACCAACTCTGAGTTGAAACCTGAAATGAGATGGGAAAGTTTTTGGGTTCAGCTGAATTGAGTTCAGTCAACTCTGAGTAGGTTGATTCTGAGTTTAGCGCATGCACCACGACAATGAAAAGCCATGATCAATGGAGCTCTGAAATTACGATTCACCATGGCAACAGCACCCAACAAAAAGACGTCCACATACTTCCGAGTCAATACGTAACTTTAATTCTTAATCACTGTTATAATATCAAAGGTAACAACTGGCAGAATGGTAAGTTATTGAACTAATATTAATTTTCATGGTATCCCACAGGCAAAAGAAAAAAGAAAAAAAGACAAAAAGCAGCTAAACATGAAGTATAAAAACATAATTCAATCAGGTAAAACTTTAAGCATAAAAGGTTCATGAGTGTAGGCTACATGACTTTACAAACATTTGACATATTAAATAAATATCATTCAGTGTCTATTTAAATGTGCAGCTGCTTTTTCCAGTCTAATGCTCTTTTCACATAATTAAATGTTCTCTAATCCAAACTGTTGCATTTCTTAATTACAGTAATGAAATTTACATTTGACTTCTACTCGGCCAACAGCAAGAAGGCTCGCAAAATAATGAACAGATGAAGAGGGCATTGCCACAATTAATATTAAAATCCAACAAGAAAAAGAATAACTGTTGTTTTTGTATTTGTAGGAAATAAAGATGACCAAATAAATTTAACAGCTGTGGTGGTGGTTATGGCATATATCTCGAACTACCCTTCCATCTGGCGTCCTTCCATTCCATACAGTAATCAGCTTCATTTTCGATAGGTTTGTGCTCAGGAAACTACAAAAAAATTCTCATAAAGAGCGTGAGAGCGAGGCCTTACTAATGTGCTCTGCATCTGCGATGTTCTATAGAAAACTACCATTTAAAAATGGTACCGCTCAAATAAATATGCATGTGGATATGGCAAAAAGAAAAATCAAAATAAACCTCTCCCAATGTAAATGTAACTCCCTACGAATTAATGCAGCCTCTTTATCTACAGGAACCTGTAAAAAATGACTTTTTTTGGTCACTGTCAGAGTGTCTGCATGATGAAAATAGGTGCAATTAATTAATGTACCTGCACTGCAAAAAATGCTTTTCTTACTTAGTATTTTTGTCTTGTTTCCAGTCAAAATATCGAAAGATTCTTAAATCAAGATGCATTTTCTACATAAGAAAAATGACCCAAGGTATTTAGACTTTTAAGTGTATTTTTCTTATTTTGCAAATTATCTGCCAATGAGGAAAGAGTTTTAAGTAAAATGCACTTAATTTAGCTTCCAAAATACTCAGAAATATATATAATACTAAATAATATAATACTAAGAAAAGCATTTTTGCAGCTTGAATGAATGAATGAAGTGTTTGAGCATCACTTACACTTTAAAAAAGGGAAGGAGACCGAAAGAAACTCTGGGTTTACCAAAGAAAACCTGCTGCCGACCAGGTTAGGTTCACAGAGTAAGTTATCATGGTAACTGACTCTGAGTATAAGTTCCCTCTCTTTCAGAAACGGGCTTGACTTACCCTGCTTTCTCAGGTTTGACATACCTCCCATTCAGAAATGGAAAACCCAGTTTCCCTCATTTCAGGGTTAACATACTCAGAGTTTTCACTTAACCTCCTTTCTGAAACGGGCCTCAGCCTCTTATTGACCACTTAAATATAAATATTTCATAGAAGTTGGAGCCGTGGCTCCATGTGAGTTGTTGTGTTCTTTCATTCCTCTCTCTTCCAATAATTCCCTGTCTATATCTATAAATATTTTTTTGAAGAAAATGTGAGTGGTGTATGCTCATTGCCTCTATGATGCTAGAATGTTTTGGGTGGTTGCCAGGTTGTTTCTATATTATTGCTAAGGTGTACTATGTGTTTTTTAAAGGGTTGCAATGCAGTCGCTAAGATATTCTGGGTGGTTGTTAGGGTGTTAAGGGGCTTGCTCAAAAAGGTACAAAGAGAGAGACTGAGGAACAGAATGAAGCCAGGCCTAGAGACTGAGAGGATGAGTGCATCAGCCAGAGGGAGGATGTTCTAGACTAGAGCGAGCGAGTGAGGACAGAAGAATGGGACAGGGCAGAGGAGGAGCAGGCAGCTATCTGAGGCTGCTGTGGACACAACTGGACCATATGCTGACTGAACCAGATTTTGGACTTTTAAAGACCTTGGAGGAAAAAAGATATGCTCAGATCTGAGGGACACACATGTTTCTTCTGCATGATGTAGTGATGAGAACGACCAGTAAGTGTGTAAGAGCCACAGTTAGACTTTTTCTTCACATTAGTTTGAGAGTGCTGTATGTATCAAGCGTTATATGTTCAGTGTTGTGTTCAGAGAGAGATTTCTGCAGACTGTGAGTGGTTTTTGTTCAGCAAATGTGTAATTCAGCACAAGTATGTGGAGAATCCTGTACGAAAACGGTATATTGGATTATGGTGAGGTCATTTCCTGACCCGTCCGCTTTTATGATGACTTATTTTGAGAGATGCTTTGTTTTTACTTTCTTATTTCATCTCTTGTGGATCTTTCTCAATGAAATGTAGTGTAAATGGATCTAGACAAAACAGAAAAAGAGACCCAAAAAACCACACTCATAAGGAATCCCGTTCTTCATTTTCTTTACTTATCTCAACTTTAATGTCATTTAATGCATTATATTGCATATGTGCATTAATTACATTGCAATACATGTAATTCTTATTAATAATAATAATAATCAGTATTTATGTATTTGCTGTTTTTGCTTTATTGAGGCCAATAGCTAATATTTATGAATAAATATGAACATGTGTGTGATCAGGTCGAAATTGATTAATAAACTGTTGAAGAATCATGTCATTGTTTGTTTTTAGAAATCGAGGCAAAGGAGGCATGTGACTGGCTGAGGGCGGCGGGATTCCCACAGTATGCCCAACTTTATGAGGGTAAGAAATGGGATTCATATCTATAAACATACACACAGATGTCAAAGTATCGCTCGTTGATTTGGTGGCCTCAACAAATGTCTGCAGTGTGGTTGCAGCTGTGAGGTTAAGTGACGGTAAAAAATCAGGAATGCGGTGCGACGAGAGAGAAAACAGTTGACTGTTGCTTTGAGTTTGAGATCACACCTATCCCATCCCACCTCAGCTGAACAGACAGAAGCCAAGCAGTGATCACGAGCTGAATTCTTTTTGATTTTCCATTTCAGAAATATGGAATAAAAAATGCATTTACACAGCTGTGTGCTCCATTTGTCAGCACATTTTTTTCCTCCCTCTCTGTATCTTTTCTGGTCATTTTAGGGCCGCGGCGAGCTATTTGCAGGCTAGAGTTTCTATCCAAAGGGAAGGAAGAGGTCATGGGAAAAAGTCTTCATTATCACTGCCGGGAAAATACAGGCCTTTGCCTCAGTCTTCCGCCCAGGCCAGCATAGGGGTCGAGAGGATACTATTCTCTCTGCTTCTCTCTCTCTGTTCCCCTGACTCCTCCTTATGATACTTTACGTCAGTGAGCGATAAAATGTCAACAGTTCTATATTTAATTCCGTGTAAATTCAGAGCTTGGCTCTCATGAGAAAATCATAAAATGGAAGAAGCTCTGTTTGGCCTTGTGAAGCCATTATGCCATTATGACATAAATAAAGAACTCCCAGATTCCAATGGGAAAACACCTCTGCATAAAGTGCACATCTTTATCTATCTTAATTATTTGCATTTGTTTGAGTCAGATCGAGGGAGTTAGGCGATAACCTCTGGTTCCATTTCAGAGCCAGTCTGCTGTGCATAATGTAATCAGTGAAGGAGCGTCTGCCAGAGATTACGTTCGATTTATAAGAATTACGCCACAGCTGCTGTGGATCTCTGCAGAACCTCCGCAGATGTCTGGACAGATGAACTTAAAGAGTTTTATCCAGTTCTTTGTTTATTAATCACTTTTCATTTTAATTCATGATTTTGATTTGCTTTATATGTCTTTGTATGAAAATAACATTAAATAACATGCACTTGATCCATGAGTGAACTTTCGTGATCACTCACTCGTGATCACACTATTTTGGTTACATTACACCTTTTGAACAGGACAGAGAAGTGATCTGCTTTCTGTCTCTGCCTGCAGATTCCCAGTTTCCCATTGAAATATCTGCCGTCAAGAGGGACCATGACTTTCTCGACAAAGACCTTGTGGAGCCTCTTTGCCGGTAAGAGTCCAAATATCTAGATTAAGATTATCTCGATATCTTGAGATTCTTTAGATTCAGAGTCTTGCAGTCTACAGGATGGAACTTGATGCACTGTCTTTACTTAAAATGACAGCTGTGAAAATCAAAGGCCTTACTGTCAATCACTTGTACTCTGATGGCCAAGTTGTTTTGTCCATTTATATTGCACAATGCTGAAGAATATGAAAACTTTAAGGACAACATGAAAATGTTTTCCTATTTACTTTTGTATTTAATTCCGCTGGTCCTATAGTGCATCACATTGATGCAATAGCTCTCTCTGCTTCTAAAGTAACACTTCTTTGACAATGGCACGTGCATTTTTTGTCATTTTGGAGAGAAAAATGTATTTATTTATTTATTTATTTTTGACTACACAAGAGAACGTGAGCAAATGAGAGAGAGAGCAAATGAGAGAGAGAGGCTGTTTGTGTATGTCCATTACATTATTTTATTTCTGCCATTATTATTATTAATCTATTTATTTCAGTTTATTCAATTTATTTCTTTTCTATCATTAATACTACTATTATTTTTTGTTAGGCAGTATTTATCTATATTCATAAAATCCATAAAAACTGTGTACACCCTTTTCTCCAAAAATCATTTTATGAGCAAATGTTTATTTTATTTTGCTTTATTTTATTTTATTTTATTTTTATTTTATACAATTATTTTATTAATTATGATTTATGTGAATGTATATAAATCTATATTGATAAAATCATTCAAAACGTTTAAAAAAGTTTTAAAAAATAAATAAATAAAAAAGTTTTTTTTCTTTTTTTTTTTAATGAGCAGTACACTACACAACCAGACCAAACCCTATTGCCCAGTGGCGACCCCACCTCTGAAGCTGTCTGACCCATGTCCTCCATAAAGTCTGTCCCCTTCCTTTGATCCCTAATGCAGCCCCCGTGGAGTCTGCTCTGATGTCCCTCTCAAAAGCCTGAGGGAGCATGGGGGGTTTGGAGCTGCCAGTGTAGGCTACTAACAGATGGTTGTGTGTGTTTGTGTGAAACAAGGCCCGGGGTTTGAGGTGTTGAGGGTTTCCAGCAGGTTGTCTCCCTGTCTAATGCATCTAATGACAGCGTTAGTGAGATCTGACAGCTTTACTGTCAGAGAATACACACACTGCTCTTAAGGACGGTGTCTTCTGGCATGATAATGGCATTTCATTATCACACCACAGACATGATATTTATGCATATTTATGTGGCCATCTGGGCCCTGGATGTTTAATTAGGGAACCTTGATTGAAAAATTGTGTCGGCAGACAGCTGATTAACCATTCTGATGTCATGACGGAACATTTTAACGCGTCAAAAACAACAGGTCTGGTTTTATAGGTGAAATAATAGCTTGTTTGTGTCTGGAATGGATATAAAGCGAGGGGTCTGCAGTCTCTTGTAGAGTAAAGAAGATGTGTGTGTGTGTAAAAAGGGGTGGAAAAAACCTCTTCGGGGTGAAGATCAGTCAGATGAGAACGTTAAAGGGCACTGTAGGGTTAGATCAAAGGGGAGGTGGACGAGAAGGTGGATTGCCCACTCTCTCGCTCTCTTTATCCCTGTGTTTTTCCTTCTGCAGTCCCGTCAGAGTCTCATTCATTCATGGCCATGTTTTGAAAGAGATTAGAACCTATGACTGCCAAGCCGTCCTGTCACACTTTCCCTCAGCCAATCAGGACACAGATAGTGAGAGTTTCTTGAAATCTATACCTGCACGTAGAGAGGCAAACAGAGGTTAGACGAGTGTAGGATCTACAGTGGATTGTCTCTCTCTCTCTCTGTGGCTGTATGGTTTCTTTGTGGTGGAGATGAGAGTGACGGATGCATCAGTGACCATGTCTTCTCTCTTCCAGTCGACTCAACACTCTGAACAAGTGTGCCTCCATGAAACTGGACGTGAGCCTCCCCAAGAAGAAAGTAAGTGGCTGTTTAATTAGTTCTTTTTTATTTTCTTCCCTTCAGAACATTTCAATCTTAAAAGGGAGTTGGGTGAATCTTATGAAAACTGTCAATATATATATCAGTGGTTACTTGCATCAGAAAAAGAAAAAAAGAAAATGTTTTTACATTAACAATGCAATCAGTATTCTATTTATTAAAGCCATGTATGAATCTCATCAAGTTAGTGTTTTTAAGCATTTTACATTTATTCCAAAATAATAACTCAAGGCAGTAACAATATAAACAATATATTGTATTTGTGAACTAATGATCAGCTATTCTTTTTAATAGTTTAATAGAATTTTTTGGATCATCAGTCATCAAAGCTCAGTAAATATTGGTGACAGACACGGAGATTTACTTTAAATTTCACCAAGCTGATTACTCACTAAAAACTCCCACACAGGGGATTTCAGAAGTTAGGGGGACAGAAATGTCAATTTGATTTCTTTTAAATTTTTTGGCTAATTGACAGGTTTTAATATTTAAAAAAAAAAAAAAAAATTTATTATTTTTTCTTCTCTCTTACTTTTAATTGCTGCTGGACAATAAACAATAAATTGTATTCTATATTATTTTTCCTATATTTTCCTAATGACAATTTTATGATTGATTTCTATACTACAGACACTTTTTTTTGCCATTTTATCACAGAATAAAGCAGAAAATATATTTTATAGTTTCTAAAGGCTACCGTAATAAATTATATGTCAATTAGCACTGCATTATTTATATGCTTTATTTATTACCTGGAGATGACTTGGAAAAACACATATAAACCATATATTGTCGCAATCGTGTGTTTATTTTCTTAACGTTTCATCAGTCAAACCATTTCTGCTTTTTATTCAGTTTAGTTACAGCGATAGCCGGATGCCTTTGTCCATAGTAGGGCTTTCCTGGCACGTCTTAAGTTATTAATTCTATGAAGCCGTTTTGGACTTTCTGCGTTAGATTTATTATTTTTTCTTCTCTCTTACTTTTAATTGCTGCTGGACAATAAACAATAAATTGTATTCTATATTATTTTTCCTATATTTTCCTAATGACAATTTTATGATTGATTTCTATACTACAGACACTTTTTTTTGCCATTTTATCACAGAATAAAGCAGAAAATATATTTTATAGTTTCTAAAGGCTACCGTAATAAATTATATGTCAATTAGCACTGCATTATTTATATGCTTTATTTATTACCTGGAGATGACTTGGAAAAACACATATAAACCATATATTGTCGCAATCGTGTGTTTATTTTCTTAACGTTTCATCAGTCAAACCATTTCTGCTTTTTATTCAGTTTAGTTACAGCGATAGCCGGATGCCTTTGTCCATAGTAGGGCTTTCCTGGCACGTCTTAAGTTATTAATTCTATGAAGCCGTTTTGGACTTTCTGCGTTAGAGCGCCCTCAGGCTTCGAGTATGAATGAAACATGAGAGTGTTTAGCGCTCCGTAATGTTCACATTGCTTCATTTTAGATATGAATAAAATGTCAGGTCATGCGCTTTGCTTTTAAACCTAGATTTATTCACACTGGCCCCTGAAAACCTCTACGTGAACACACTTGCCTGAAAAAAGTGTGGGGAAAGAATTTACGTTTTATTAAAAGTGTGGGGGACACACGTCCCCTCCCTGCATCCCCTGCGTATTCTACACCCATGCTCCCACAGATCATGTTTTCATGCCATTTTAAGTCTTATTTTGACGTAACGTAACAATATAAACAATATATTGTATTTGTGAACTAATGATCAGCTATTCTTTTTAATAGTTTAATAGAATTTTTTGGATCATCAGTCATCAAAGCTCAGTAAATATTGGTGACAGACACGGAGATTTACTTTAAATTTCACCAAGCTGATTACTCACTAAAAACTCCCACACAGGGGATTTCAGAAGTTAGGGGGACAGAAATGTCAATTTGATTTCTTTTAAATTTTTTGGCTAATTGACAGGTTTTAATATTTAAAAAAAAAAAAAAAAATTTATTATTTTTTCTTCTCTCTTACTTTTAATTGCTGCTGGACAATAAACAATAAATTGTATTCTATATTATTTTTCCTATATTTTCCTAATGACAATTTTATGATTGATTTCTATACTACAGACACTTTTTTTTGCCATTTTATCACAGAATAAAGCAGAAAATATATTTTATAGTTTCTAAAGGCTACCGTAATAAATTATATGTCAATTAGCACTGCATTATTTATATGCTTTATTTATTACCTGGAGATGACTTGGAAAAACACATATAAACCATATATTGTCGCAATCGTGTGTTTATTTTCTTAACGTTTCATCAGTCAAACCATTTCTGCTTTTTATTCAGTTTAGTTACAGCGATAGCCGGATGCCTTTGTCCATAGTAGGGCTTTCCTGGCACGTCTTAAGTTATTAATTCTATGAAGCCGTTTTGGACTTTCTGCGTTAGAGCGCCCTCAGGCTTCGAGTATGAATGAAACATGAGAGTGTTTAGCGCTCCGTAATGTTCACATTGCTTCATTTTAGATATGAATAAAATGTCAGGTCATGCGCTTTGCTTTTAAACCTAGATTTATTCACACTGGCCCCTGAAAACCTCTACGTGAACACACTTGCCTGAAAAAAGTGTGGGGAAAGAATTTACGTTTTATTAAAAGTGTGGGGGACACACGTCCCCTCCCTGCATCCCCTGCGTATTCTACACCCATGCTCCCACAGATCATGTTTTCATGCCATTTTAAGTCTTATTTTGACGTAACAAATTGGTTATATCTAAATGTGTGAGTTGTTTACGTACTTTTTTGAATTAGTCTTCCCATTAACGCCATTATATTGTTCATTCAGACTGAAACGCAAACACACACAAACACAAGAGGTGGGATTTATCGCATGAACCAATCACAGCTAATCATAACCAGTCATATCCAATCATATTTCTCACGTGACATTCCCCCATTCATTCTCTATTACCCCCCACCAAACTCACCGCAGGCTTTAGCGGAGGCTAGAGAGATGCGGACTCCCACTGTAACTTTACCTGCTGGTGTCGCTGTTGGACAGTGTTTCTTTAGAAAAATGAGTGATTTATAAAAATTTTTGTTATATTTTGTAATATTGGCATTGTTTTATTTTTGTACTAAGAATTTTTTTCTCATCCAATAATTTGAGGAGGCACTGCTCCTTGGAGGAAACTCCCCTGAGATATATATATATATATATATATATATATATATATAGATAGATATAGATATAGATATAGGTAATGTACTGTATATATGATGATTTTACGTTATGAATTTTTTTAAGATTTGTAAAAAATGTTAAGAGTTTAAGATTTTAAACAGAAAAAGGTGTCATTACCGTATTACATTGTATTTTGAGAACGTTTAATTTTTTTCCACATTAATAAGAATTTTGGAGAGAATGTCCTTCATTGTCATGAAAATGATGTCACCAAAATGACAAATTCTAATGGTGTCTTTATACAAAATACATTTTCAAATTATGAAAACACATTTCTTCACGAGATTCACCTATTTAAATGCAAAATTAAATTAAATATCCGAACTATTGAAGAATCTATACAATTATAATGTTTTTACTATTACTGTAATGTCTCTGGTTTATAGTGCCTGTGAAATAAAAATCTGTCTTTAGGGTAATTTTGTCTGTCTGGGTTTTTAAAATGGATTATTTGGCCTATGAACTGCTTATAACAAAGCAGATTATATAAAAAGTCAGTCATTGGAATTGATGTTGGCTTTCAGCATAGAAGCGTCGGTTTAATCTTCAGTTGAGACTCTCTTACTGTTTACTCAGGGGTCGTATTTCAGCCTAATTATGATTGTAAGCTGTGAATCTCATTCAGTAGGTCATTTCTGATGCTTCTGCTTCTACTGACGTCTCAGGCATGTGAAAGGGGTTTTTGGGTGTTGCTGTCTTGAACACAACCAGACGGTGATTTGATACCTATATATGTTCGAGGCCTCTTGTTTGGATGATATTTGAGAATTCCCCAAACCAGCTTGTATGACATTTTTTAAATACCATGAGCCTCTTTTGACATCATCACACTTACTCTATTCAAACGTATGAGGTCTGTTATATTTTAAATAGGAAACGGGTTGTGAAGGTACACAGGTACAGACACATACAATATTAGGAGAGTGTCAGAGCCCTTCACAGCTCTTTCTTGTGCTGTGTGAGCACATGTGCCTGGGCTTTACTAACTACAAAACATATTGTTAATATCTGTACAAAGAACCCTTAATATCCCATGGTTTCCATCATCAAGTTACTCACCAAAAAAAAAGCTGATTTTCATTTTTATATATTTATATTTAAATATAATAGAGAAAGATCGGTTATTTGTTTTAACAGTGTTCATATACATTTGTGCATTTAAAATATATTTCTTTATGTAGTGTATACACTTTTAATGCAATCAGTTGTCTTTTAAGGAACAAAAATTGGATGCATATTTTTATATTAACTTAAAAAAGAAATTGTTCGCCATGGTGTTGCTAGGTGGTTGCATACTGGCCCTAGTGAAAACAAAGTACCCATCCCCAAATCTTGGTGATATTTCTCTATGGGAGCATTCACCCATTTTATCGTCCACTGAGTGAGAATTGTAAGTCAGTTTTAGTTATACTACTAAATAAGGACTATATTCTATATCTTTAGTTTAGGAACACTGAAACACTCAAAAAACATGTCAACAAATTGTAATCCTGTGCTTTTTTGGTGCATGCAGAGTGAGGACTCTGATGAGGAGGACCTGTTGGCCATCAGTAATAGATGGACGTTTGAGTGGAACAGTCGGCGCTGGTCACGTCTGCAAGACATCGATTACCTACTGGGTAGAGCTGAGGAGCGGAGCCCCTCTGAGGTGGGTGAGGGTCTCCGGACCACTGTGAGCAGCGAGAGCTTTCTGACAGACCTCAGCGAGCCAGAGATCTGCTCCCTGCACAGTGAAGACTCTTTGGCTGCCATGCCTGACTCTGCCTCGCTCACCCCACTGCACTTGCCCAGAGAGCTGCCTCATTACGGTTCACTACCCGCCAAGAGCAGGCGACGTGGACGCACACGCGCCAAAGACTTCCTGAGGAGGATGGAAACACTGGGTCGGACGTGGGGGCCATCGATGGATTGCTCTGAGCGGCGCTCTTTGGTTATTAGCGGCCCAGTTCTGCAAAGCGAGCCAGAGGCACTAAAGACTCTACGATGTGTTCAGATTTTCAACAGCGGGCCTCTAAATGCTGAAAACATGCCACCAGCTAACAACTGCCCAAATTCGCTGGCCAGCAGTGAGGCTAGCAGCCAATCTGAGACCAGCGGTAGTGCCGAAAGCACACCGAATATGAAGGGACGTGTCTCAAAGTTGTATCCTCCTGGTAAACGTGCAGTCGTCTACCTAGAAGACATCGATGTTCTCACCGGCGCTCCCCAGAGGACGAGACCGGTCGAACGGAGCCGCAAAAATGACTTCCGCTCCTATGACGAGCTATTGGTGCACATCCCAAAAGATCACAAACCTGGTACCTTCCCTAAAGCGCTGTCAATCGAGAGTCTGACGCCAGCCAGTAAGGAACACGGAAACTGGAAGGTTCTGGATTCAGAGCCGCAGCCATTCAAGTGCAGGAAAGTTGGCGGGAGGGAACTCCGGCCTGCGACACGCTGCTGCCCGCGAGGCAGCAGGATCAGTGTGTACGATAACGTACCTGGCTCACACCTCTACGCGAGCGCGGGGGACATATTGGACCTTGAGAAGGAGGATATATTCCCACATTTGGATGACATTCTGCAGCATGTGAATGGCCTGCAGCAGATCGTGGACCACTGGTCCAAAAACGTCTTGCCGGAGAGTGAAGGGGAGGGGGATGGAGGCAGGGGGCGGGAGCAGAAGATTATTGACGGCCAGTCTTCCAGTCAAATCACACTGGACTTTGAGGGGACTTCTGTAATCAAAGGGTTGACCACACCGAGCGACGGCAACAAGGATGGGCTTTCGTTAAATGAAACAGACACCTACAGCACCAGCGAGAGGAGGGACTCAGGGGTGGGGGCTTCCCTGACACGACCACGGTGAGACTTCAGGATGGATATACTGAGAGGCACTCATTTATGAGACTAAAATAAGACTTTCTTCCAAGAAATCACATATACATGTCTTTCTGCTAACTTTAATTTTTATTTATACTTTAGAGAGCATTAAATGATCTTTTCATGAATATATCATGTTGCTGTTGTATTTCTAGCCTTAGATGGCCCAGCTTCAGGATGTCAAACCTCCTCGGCCAATCAGGAATCTCGCTACAGATATCCAGCCAATCAGTGGGCCAGCTTAGCTTGCTGCAGAAGTTTTCTTTATTGCGTCTCACTGCTATTATGGAGAAATACTCCATGTCCAACAAGCATGGGTGGACTTGGTGAGTTATCTAATATGCTAATTTAGTGCTCAAGAAACATTTCTTTTTATCAATGTCGAAAACAGTTGTAGAAATGGTGATACGTACATTTTTTAGGATTATTTGATAAATAGAAGGTTTGAAAGAACAGCATTTATTTGCAATAGAAATCTTTTCTAACATTATAAATGTCTTTGTCACTTTGATCAATTTAATGCATCCTTGCTGAATAAAAGTATTAATGTCTTTCAAAAAAAAGAAATCATTCTGACCCCAGACTTTTGAAGGGTATGTACATACATGTTGAAGCAATATGAATGAATCAGTCAGGGAAAATCCCTGTGGGATGTGATTAGGGGAATTCTAGTCAGTTCTTTGCTCTTATTGAATGACACTCCGATCAAAGTGTCTCCTCAGTTAAGCGAGTTTTGTGTTAAAACTCCAGAGCTTGTGGAACAATCTCATCCTGCCATCTACATCACAGTTCTGCCTTTAAACTCTGTGCACGCTTCCATTTACACTCCCCCTTGCGTTATATATAATCAAGGTTCTTATAGCAGATCCTACACACAGACAGACTATATACACACTTACGGCCATAAACTGATCTCCTCTTCTCAGTACTCTGTGTATATGTTCTTAGGTCAGTGCCAAAATTTATGAAGAGAATGAAGGGACCAGACTACAAGGAAAAGATGGTATTCGGTGTTCCTCTGATTGTCCATGTTCAGCGGTACGGACACCCTCTGCCCATAAGCTTACAGCTCGCCCTGCGCTTTTTAAGGAGCCAGTGTTTGGACCAGGTACACAGTTTCATTCACATTTTCAAGACTGATTATAAGGTTCGTTCTAAGTTAGGCCAGAGTCAAAGTTATTCCAAACTCAGTAAAAAACTTGATGTCCAGCCACTGCTCAATTCCTATAGACAGATAAGCCACACAAACCCTAATAGTGTTTTTTTTTCTCCCTGTATGTTGATGTCTTAGTAATTCAAAATCAAATCAAATGTATTCGCTTCATTTTGTTTTAATGGTGCATTATTACTATTGCTCATGTTTAGGGTTATGTTTTTGAACAAATGTTTGTGTTGCGGTTATGAATGATACCTCCAATTGTGTGGCTTGTTAAGTCGAGGAGTGCTATTTCTTTTCTAAGTGATCAGACACACGATTTTGGTCTGGCAGACGAAAATATGACTGAAAAAAGTCCATAAGCTTAAATAGAAAGAGGGACCCAAGCCATAGACCAGAACATCATAGAGACTTTGAGGTGGGATGTTTTGACTTGGTTCAGTAAAGCTCCGGTCACGTTAGCAAAATTTAATGTACAAAAAAAGGTCTATTGTCGATAGTGTCCCGATGCATGATGCGCCACACACACAGAGGCCACTTTCAAATCAAACAGCTTTGATTTGACGTTTTTGCCCTTGTAAAACTCTCAATTATGAGGATTCCTATTGAGATGAATGGATTTCGCCAGCTAAATTTCACTGAGCAACGATGAATGTGACCACACCTTCAGCAGCCACCCAAACAAATCCTAACAACCACTTAGCAGCAACCAGGCTACCACACACAATTAGCACCACTCACATTTTATGTAAAAAAGATACAAATCTTATTTGCTTTTCTCATTATGTTTCAGGTGGGACTTTTCCGTAAATCCGGTGTAAAGTCTCGTATTCAGGCTCTGCGGCAAATGTGTGATACCTCTCCACAAAATGTGAACTACGAGGATCAGTCAGCGTATGATGTGGCAGACATGGTCAAACAGTTCTTCAGAGACTTGCCTGAGCCTCTCCTCACGAGCAAAATGGGCGAGACCATCCTCCACATATACCAGTGTAAGAGCATTTCCTGTCTGATACGAGCTTTTCTGCCCAAATACTTCTTACAGTACTTTCAAATCCCTAAAACACTTTATAATACTCTGTCTAACCAGATGTCCCTAAAGAACAACGCTTACAGGCGGTGCAGGCAGCTATCATGTTAATGGCCGATGAAAACCGTGAGGTCTTGCAGACGCTGCTGTGCTTCCTAAATGATGTCACTTCCTCTGTTGAGGAGAACCAGATGACTCCAATGAACCTGGCGGTGTGCCTCGCTCCTTCTCTCTTCCACCTCAACATCATGAAGAATGATAACCTGTCACCTAGGTAACGGAGTTCCGTTTTTGCACATTCCAAACACATGTACTCAACTTAGAAAGGCTTTCATTATTGTATAAGAGCTATAGGATGATATGTGTGCTTTGTCATTAAGTCTCCAGGGCCTTGAGGTGTTGTGAGAACGTGTGAAGTGTTTTATTAACTCAACATACAGACAACTCCCCCATCATTGTGTTCATTAGGGAGCATTACTCGACACTGAGCAGACACCTGGCCTGAGGGCCAGAGACGGGAGGAGGTGTGGAGAAAAGAGAGGGGTAGTTTAGCTTAAACTTACTCAGACTGGCCTGAAGGGGACGGGGGCATCATGAAACTTATCAGATGTTTTGGATCTTCATATAAATGTATAAAATGCGCCATGATAGATGGTTTTCATTGGTTTATTAGTTTGTTTTATACGTTTGCAGCTACAAAAATTTTGAAAATATTATGGATCACATGGAAGCTCATGCATATGATGTCTTCTGTTGCATTCAGGTCTATTCAGAGGAAGTATGCCACTGGGCGGCCAGACCAAAAGGACCTGAATGAGAACCTTGCGGCCACTCAGGGGCTCGCGCACATGATTGCTGAGTGCAATCACCTATTCGAGGTACAAGATGCATGTTCTGACATGTTTGCCGTGAGATGTGTGTGCATTGAGAAATTGTGGTTGTTTTATAAGATTGTGTGCAGAACAATTACAAAAAGTTCAGCTGATTATTATAATCACTTAAAACTTGTACAAAAGTTTTCTATTTCAAATCATTTAAAAAATATTTCTATTTCAAATAAGTGCTGTTCTTTTGAAAAAAAAGTCTATATAACTCTCTCTATATATATACTATATAACTGTATAATCATTAAGAAGTAATGTTTCTTGAGCACCAAATCAGTATATTATAATGATTTCTGGAGGATCATGTGACACTGAAGACTGACGTAATGATGCTGAAAATTCAGCTTTGCCGTCATAGGAACAAATTACATTAAAAAATTTATTTGAATAAAAAAGAGCTTAAATAGTAATAATATTTCACAATATTACTGTTTTACTGTATTTTTCATCAAATAAATGCAGCCTTGGTGAGTATGAGAGACTTTAAAAAAGAGGAGACTTCTGTTGAAGTGTTTTTTTTAATGTGGTTTGTGCAGATTCCTCAGGAGATGGTCTCTCAGTCCAGGAACTCATACATGGAAGCTGAGCTGCTGGCACCCTCTTTAGACGAGCTCTGTAAAAAACAGCCGCAACAGGACGAGGAAGATGGAGAAGAGGAGGAAAGCACGTGTCGCTCTTATCTGGAGAGCTTGATACAGAATCTGATGAAAGAGACCAAAGACAAGACCAAGGGATGGGTGACCAGATCAAATGTTGACAATACAGAGATATCATTAAAAAAGGTAATAATAAATGTATTAATTAATTGATTAATTAATTCATTCATTCATGTTATATGGAATATATGGTTTAAATAAATATATGACTAAATGTAAATATTTACTTTATAATAATACCCACTATTAGTTCCATAAAAATATAGTATGAATTGAAACATTTATTTTTCATTTATTTAGAAGTATTTTTATATTTATTATTTAAATTATTATTATTTATTCTATTTATTTATTAAATCCTCTTAACATCTTGATTTTACATTTAGTGAATTGCTCATGAAAGTACAAGCAAATGAGTTTGGACAAATAATGCGAATATTACAAATGTAAACGGAGACATGGTTTGGGAAGAGCATGGCCACATTTATTGACAACCTAAGTTTGAATCTGGCTTGTGTCATTTCCCACCCCCTATTTCCTGTCTGCTCTGACTGTCCTATCCGATAAAAGACCAAAAACCCATAAAATAAATAAAAGTCTGAGGGAAGTCTGCTGTCTCTCACAGGTGGGAGACGGGACCCCGTTGAGACGCTGGCGTGTGTCTGTAGAGGTGGAGGCTCCTCCATCTGTGGTGCTAAACCGCATACTGCGAGAGCGCCACCTGTGGGACAGTAACCTGCTACAGTGGAAGGTTCTAGAAACTCTGGACAAGCAGACAGAGGTGTACCAGTATGAGCTGAACAGCATGGCCCCTCACCCCAACAGAGACTTTGTGGTGCTCAGGCGAGTACAACATTGTGATCTGATACTGTGTATTGTTTACTGTTCAAGCCATGTGTCCTGGGTAGCCCATGTTTGAGGCCATTAGCAAATATCTAAATGAACTGATTACACACCATTATGGTTGTAACAAAAGCATGTCTGTAGCAAGGGCTTTTTGTGCGTCATTAAAGGCAGAGTAAGTGATTTTTCAAAAACACTTTAGAAAACGGAGGAGAGAGGGTTCAGTGCACAAGACGGACATTAGCCGAGCCGAGCGACAGAAAGATAGAAATGGCGGATAAAAAACAAAAGAGGAAAACGTCTGCGGAACGATAAGGCAAGAAGTAGGACCCGTGTAAATATCGGATCAGCTTTCCAGCGCTGGAGAGAACTCAAGGAGCGGAGGCCTGCGATCGGACACAGAGGTTGCTTTGTTTCTTCTCAATAGGTGAGTAACACCGTGTCTGCAACAGCTAAAGTCTGCCTACACTGGACGCGATCAAACGACTGTTGAAAACCATTTGAAATTTGTGTCAATACGTCATAAATAGAACCCGGCAGCAGTTTTCTGTCGGGGATTTGTTGCGCCTCGCCCCTCACGTCCGTAGACACGGTGTAACATTGGTTTTGCTTTGTTTCACAGAACTAATCGTTGCCTGGGTTGCGTACGTATATGTGGGGCGGAGCTATCAAAATAGGGGCAAGACCCTTTTGGGGTAGGGGCGTGTTTGTTTTGGTGATTTCAAATATAAACATTGGCTACCAGAAATCACTTACTCTGCCTTTAAGTTCTTGTGATTCTCTGAACACCGAGGTTGTAAAAAGGTCCCACATACCCCTGCTGAACAGCTGGGCATTCATGGAGTATTACTAAAAGACACTCACCAATCTCTCTAAGCACACTTCTCTGTGTTAGTTCAAGATGAAATGCTTTCAGCTAAGCAAATTAGACCACCCAGGTCATACCCAAAATATCACTGTAAGACTACAGCTTAACATTACTTGACAAATAAGCAGCTGTGAGGTACAAACAGTAATCTGATCGAAGGAAAACATTCAGCTGGAATATTGCATGTTATTTGATAATTAATCAAATTTGCACTTGGCAAACTGACACTTACATCTCTTGTGTCTGTGTAGGGGATGGCAGATGCACTATCGGTGTGTTTGCTGTGATTTATATTGATGGTGTTTTAATTTCTGTTTAGGACGTGGAGGACAGAAATGCCAAAAGGTGCGTGTGTGCTGGTATCGGTGTCGATCGATCATGAGGAAAGCCCACAGCTGGCCGGAGTGAGAGGAATAATTCTGGAATCCCAGTATCTGCTTGAACCGTGTGGCTCTGGGAAGTCCAGACTCACACATATATGCAGAGCTGATCTGAAGTAAGTGCATTGAAAGCAACTCTTCAAGTATACACTACTGTTCAAATGTTTGGGATCAGCAAGATTCTTTTTTTTTTTTTTGAAAGAAATAATAGTTTTACTCCACAAGAACGCATTAAATCGATCAAAAGTGATACTAATAACTTGTATACGTAATTGTTATAAAACATTATTACTTAAAATAAATGCTGTTCTTTTGAACTTTGTTCATCAAAGGATCCTGAAAAAAATTTATCAGTTTCCAAAAAAATATTAAGCAGCACAACTGTTATCAACGCTGATAAGAAATGTTTTTTCGTGAGCAGCAAATCAGCGTATTAGAATGATTTCTGAAGGATCATGTGACTAAAGACTAGAGTAATGATGCGGAAAATTCAGCTTTGCCATCACAGTAGTAAATTACATTTTAAAATATATTAAAATAAAATAGTTATTTTGAAGTATATAGTTTTTACTCCATTTTTGATCAAGTAAATGCAGCCTTTGTGAGCATTCAGATTTTTCTTTTTAAGAAATTTGCTAAATTATTACAAAGCCTGTTTTTGCTTTGTCATTATGGGATATGCAATGTAGATTGATGTGAAAAAAAATATTTTACAGTATTTTATTAAAAGGCTAGAACATAACTAAATGTTAAAAAACAAAGGGGTCTGAATATTTTCTGAATCTACAGTTTTATATAAATATTTATTATTATTGTGTATTGTTTTTTAGTATAACAGACATGGTTATAATTGTCTTTAAATTGTTAGATGTTTTATTTTAACATAATTATTCCTCTGGTTGATTAGAAATTCCTTTTTGTCAAGTGCGTCCTCAAAGCATGTGTAATGAACGCAGTACATAAGTCTTAATGCTTCACTAAATGCTGTATATTTGCTTGCTGTTCCAGAGGAAAGTCTCCAGAGTGGTACAACAAAGCTTTCGGCCATCTCTGTGCTAGCAAAGCCGCCCGCATCCGCAACTCCTTCCTGTCTCTGGATCCCGAGGGCCCAGAGACCAAAATCTGAACATGGCTACACGGAGTCAGGCATGAGGGAACTGGGATGTAGTTCTACGTCAGGTCAAATGGTCACAGAAAACGAACTTTGGCGAGGAAAAGGAGGGATTCAAGAGAGAAGAAAAGAGCAAATGGAACATTTTTAGTTTATTTTTTATTTTTCTAGCCCCTAAACAACAACAAACTGCCATGTCCTGTTGGTTTAATAGACCGTGGATCATTGGGATTCATATTTGAGTGTTTTACCCCTTATAGGGCATTTGATTTAGTCCGTTCATTTCATATAAATTTATGCAGCTGTTCAAAACTGCCACGTTTGAAATGGCTTTTGTTGTGTGTTTTGGGGCATATGATGAGAGATGAGAAAAGATGGACAGAGAAAGTGACAGAGACAGACTCCACCGTAGCTATGAAGCCATGCCTGTAAAAAAGTCGTAACGCTGCTTCCTGTTGTCCAGTCTTTACTGCAGCAGACAGCTTTAACTAGCACTTTTAGAGCTTCGCTTGCAACAAACAGATGTGAATGACAAGCCACCTCACGCTAATCAAAAAACAGCAGGTCTGGTTTCGTTTTATCAAGCACTTCAAGCTAAAGTACTGCATTCTCAAACCAAATATAGGTACGTTATTGTCTAAACATTATTTAAAACTCTGTATTTAGGTGTTTTTTCCTCATTTGAATGAAGCTGGTGTTACAGTGACTGTATTTTTAAACTAAGGTTGTACCCTGGTGATGTATTGATGTGAAGTATTTACAAGTGCATATTATTTCTAAATTCTGTTTTAAGAAATGTTTTATCATTACAATATTCCTTTTTTTTCATTGTCCCAGGTAAGCAATAATGTATTATCATGATAAATGGTACAGTATTGTGCTCTTTTAATAATGCAAAATTAATTAGTTAAGATTAAAAATCAAACAATATTGTAAATAATTTAGAAAATGCCAATGATTGTTGCAAGTATGCGTTATTATTATTATTATTAATTATTATTATTGTCATTGTTATATGTGTACTGTCACACTCTACAATGTCTAGGACATGAATTCATTTCACTGCTTCTGGGAAGCATGTCTATTCTATTCACAAAGCTGTACATTTACGTGTGTTTGTGTGTAAATGTGTAGATACAATTCAGGTTGTATATTTTGTACATAAATGAGGCTTATTGGCAGGTTTATCTGCTTTTATGCTCAGTTGTTTTGTTTTCCCCCCCTCATATCAGTCTTTTGCTTGAATTATCATTGCAAGCTGGTTAAATCAGCTAGCTTGTTCAGTGCTGTTTAGATGGGAACAGTGTATTTGGGTTTGATTTGAGCTCAGTGGCCGGAGAAGGAGAAATGTCTGTTTTTGAACAGTAAACAGGGTGATTCAAGTTCCAATCATTTGGAAATGTGGAAAATAAAAACTCAATGCAGTACGGTGTTACTGTTTTTGTTGTGTGTGTGATGTATTTTGGTTTGTGGTCAATCTAACAGTCATGTCCGGTTCACATAGGAATCGTTTTGAGTCTGGACCAAAAACTGTTAAGTCGGTACCATGTTCGGTAGCAAACGGCGAAAAAAAAAAAAAGTGTGTATATATATATATATATATATATATATTTTCACCTCTAACCACCAGATGGCAGTGTGGATTCACCATAGTAGCGTGGGATGGTTGACGTCGCCTGAGGACTGAGTACAGGTGCGTTTAGATTAGAGTAATACTAGCAAACAACTTGGATAGCAATTTAGAGGTCATAGAACTGTTCATTTGCTTCTAAACAGCATGACCAGTAATTAGCAGTGATCGTGTTTTCTCCTGGGTCTGCAGAACCCCAGAGAGTCCCAAGGGAACTATTGATCCACGCCATTTGAATAACACGTCTTTATACGCGGAAGTACGGAAGGCAGAGGACACTCACTGCGGGCCATGCATCATCATTAGGGAGCAAAAAGCAATGGCATGTCTTTATTCCAAAGAAGGTCAGATTTCATAAATAATGTCGACCATCCTTTCTGAAAGAGTGATCTCAGATGGTGCTGTGTTTTTATTTCTTTATTTTATACAACAATTAGTTCTGCCCTTTAATTTGATGGAACAGTGTTGATGTTTCAAAACTGGAATTGTGTATTTGTCTACTACATAGCCTAGTATACAAGAAGCAGTCTGTTAAAATCGAAGAGAGACAGAAAATGATGCAAGACTACTTGTTTACCAACACCTGGATAAGTTATTTTCATGGTTTGTATGTCATAGTTCAAAGAACACACACTTATAAGTTTTTCTTTTTTTTTAAAGATATTAATATTTGTATTCAACAAGGATGCATTACATTGACCAAACGTGACAGCAAAGACTTATAGGCTACTTTGATACAAAACATTTCAATTTCAAATAAATGATCAAATAGATGAAGAATTTACTCAAATAATCCTGAAAAAAAAGTGTCAATGTTTCCACAAAAATATTAAAAAGCACAACTGTTTTCAACACTGATGATAATATGAAATGTTTCTTGAGCAGCAAATCAGCATATTAGAATGATTTCTGAAAGATCATGTGACAATGAATAATGCAAAAAATTCAGCTTTGCCATGACAGGAATACATTTTAAAATATACTAAAAACAGTTCTTTTAAATTGTAAAACTGTTTAACAATATTACTGTGATAAACTAAAAGCAGCCTTCGTGACCATAACAAAAAACATTATCTTACAGATCCCAAACTTTGAATGGGAGTGTGTTTTTCAAAGGACAGAATTTTCTACTATTGTGAGTGAATTTTGATTAAATACACTATAAAATGTCCATTTAATTATAGCCTGTTTGTGCAAGTCTCACTTGTAATTTTTAATTATTATAATATCATAGATATATCAGCCATGACCCACACTGCTCTCTAGATGTCTGCATTGGCATCAGCCATTGAAAAAACCCGTATTAATCGACGACTGCTCTGCAGGCATGACAGTGGGTTTGTGCATCTAAAAACACAGACATGGAAATGGTGACCATATCATCATATTCTGACACCACCATGCTGTCTGGGCTTGTTTTTTAGTTGACATCTGACTGAATCTTTCACTTTATTCCAAAGATTCAGTGCGAATACACACACAGCTTCAGAGGAAGCTTTGTAGATTGAATTCCTAAGGTGATTGGCCAAAAAACAAAACAAAAAACCTTTCTATAGCTCTGACAAATCCAAGCACAGCAATAAGGTCATTAATAAATAAAAGATCAAATAGATGAATTATTGATGTTTGTGTCTGAGTGTGTGTGTGTGTGTGTGTGTGAGAGAGAGAGAGATAGAGACTCCGAGTGTTTTTGCACTTTGGTCAGGATACGGTCTGGTCTGGCCTTTCAATAAAGCAAAACATTTCATAAACACATCTATAGCTTAAATCAGATGGATTGTTTAGGCATAATTCTCCTGGAAACACAGAATTTAGCAATGCCACCGATTAGCAATGTGCAGCAACAACCTTCAGCTATTTACTGTCCACCTTTCTGTCATACGCCTCTGCAAAGCAATACAGGATTTCAGCATCACTGTGTTTGGAGTAAAGAAAACTGCCTTAAACTGCCTTTCTCCTGTTTATTTCCAGCCTCTCGTGCTTTTAGAGTAGACAGAGTGACAGTTTGGTGGCTGGACATGACCATAATGTCTATGTACATGCAGAGAGAGAGAAAGAGAGAATCAAAGACACATACATAGAAAACAACAACAACTACATTTCCGTACAGCCCCAGAGAGACAGACAGACAAAAAAAGAGAGAGAAATACAGTTGCCTTGGCTACCATTTTGTTCATGTCACTGACTTCCTCACTATCTCCTGGCCCCTCTAGCACTCTCCTCTGTTGTCTTTTCTTCTTTTCTTTTGTTTCTCCTTCCATTTCCCACACAATGCACAGGATTGCAGGGGAGCTCAACGGCCGCTTTTTTTCCCTCACCAGTTGGATAAAATGCACAGAATAAATTTTTTTCTTTATCAGTCTATTGTTATCATTTTCCCTTTCCATCCTGACCCGCACAACCTCTATTGTTGTTTAGTTGTCCTTATTTACTATGATTTATTGTTTGTATAGTTTATAGGATTTGCTTTGTTTTTCAGTTGTTTGGATAGTCCACCTCATGTTGTTCCAAACCTGTATGAATATCTTTCTTGTCCATAAAATGGAACTCAATAAGAACCGAAACTTTTTGGTTACCAAAATTCTTCAAAATATCTTCTTTTGTCTTCCACCAAAGAAAGACATAGAGGTCTGGAATGACATGAGGGTGAGTAAATGATGCCAGAATTTTCATTGCCATTTTGATTGGACTGTCGCTTTAATTTAATATTAATGCAGGTCTGAAAAAAATCAGTTCAATCTGTATTGTTTTTACAGTGAAGAGAAGCAATAGAGTGCAACAGTGCCTATTCACCTTTTCAGCGGCCTTGGTTCTGAAAGTATTATTCCCATTTATTTTTCCCATAGGGATTTTTAAAAAGTCTTCATTAAAGTGTTATAAGCCTTGAAACAAACCAACGGGCTATGAGTTGAATCACAACATTGCAAACTTTGATTTTAAGTCCTCAAGTTTCTGTTAGTTACCAGTAGTTGTGTACTCAATTGCAGTGTCCAGTTGTATCAGGTGTAAATGAAAACTCATATTTTTACCTATCGCTTGTGTTGCTGGAAATCATCTAATTGAAAATGAATCAAAGCAGGACTGTAAACCAATGAGATTCAGTTGTGGGCAGGCTATTCCAGCACAGTGTGAGTCATAAAAACCAAGCAACCAGAAAAATATCCTATCACGGTCTGCGGTCATGACTGGAGAGTACATGGTTTTGATGTGTTGATTTTATTGAATTCAGGATTCATCTCATCTGCTGCCCTATGACTCATTGTCCTATCTCCTTTTCTCCATCTGAAGGCTTCTCTTCAACAGACAACACACACATTTAGCTTGTGTGCGTATGTGTGAACACACTTTTCTCTCTCCCATAAAAACAGTCACGCTGCTCTCGCACTGTGGCTGTATGTTGTCAATGATGCAAGTAGCATGTTAAATAATTTTCTAGGAAATGTAAAGCCGTTAGCTGATTGTAATACAAGCTTTAGAGCATGTGCAGTTATGGGAGACTTGTTTTAAAATCATTTTAAAAAGCTTTGCTAAATATAAAAATCCTGTTATTCCTGGGCAGTGACAGTATGGATTGAATCTCATTGTTATTCCAAATGTATGTCATGCAAAGCTTTCAGTTTTGGAATAATAGAACATGCCTTCTTGGAAATCACTGTGTAGTTCTAGAAATGGTCCATCCGTTTTTAGTACATCACAAGTATTTTTCATCAGTTTTTTTCTGATGACTGCCTTTTGCTTGGGCACACGCGCACATCCTGTGAATCACATCCACTCCAGGATGTGACCAATTACTTAGACCTCTCATGAGCAGAACCTTTTACACGGCCGGTCGAGCCTCATCTGTGAGTTTCTGTGATAGCAGGTACTTCACGGGGTTCACGTACATTCTGTGTGGATGTATGTCACATTCACTGGCTTTACAGTCTCTGTGTGTGAGGATATATGCAGCTGTCATGACTGCTCAGAGAAGATGTGCTTGTTATGATCCTCATACAAAATGACTGTGACATACAGTGATGGGATCCAAATGGTTTTGAATGTTCTATATATATATTTTTGTAAACCCATTTGAGTGATTAGATCAAAAGAATGATTCATTTGTGAGTCTGGCATTGTCCAGTTCTTAACAGCTGATACAAACCACAAGACATGATTGCTGAAATATTGTCAGGGACAATGATTCTCAGGTTGTTATACTGTAATCTCCATTGACACATAAGTCATATTTTACTGGGGCCCGTGCTTCTGTAAAAAGGATCTAGCAATACCCCTGTTCCAGTATGGCTTTCTTTCTCCTGGTGAATTTTTGAAGAATATCGTGGATGTTCCATATAATAAAAGTAAATGAGGACTGCAGCTGTCAAGCTCTAAAACGACTGAAAAAAAACACAAATGTATTCTGTAAGTCAAATGATAGCATTGTGTGAGGAACATATAAATATTTAGTCTGGAACTAATCTTTTAAATCCTCCATCTCAGTACTAAAGAGAGAAACCAATGGGAATGAAATGCAGAAAATCACAACAGAAAGCAGACCTTTGTTTAGCACTCTTGTGAAAGCAACAATGCTGGTTTACTAACAAGTCTTTTGTGTTGAAGGAGAGGTCTGTGCATCTGTGTGAGTGTGTATATGTGACAGAGAAGTATGTCAAACAAAGTAGCTGTAAGAGGCTTGTGCATACTATTGAGAGCCAGATTGATGTAAACAGTGAAGATTGAGGTGCTCACAAGAGAAAAAAAGGTTTATAAATGGGCCAAATGATGTCTTAATAAATTTGTATATTAATATAAATTATAGAGAATATAATGTGATGTAATAGATGATAGATGAACTGTTGACTCAATGTGAGTCAATGTGATGTCCTCAAAATGAAGTGAAACAAACGTGTGTGTGTGTGTGTGTGTGTGTGTGGTAGACGTCCCTTTAATCTAACATGCCTGTTCATTTCTCCTGCCAGTGTTGAGCATCTCACATATAGGGACAGGGTGAAACGGCAAAGTGACAGCACTACGTCCTCTCCCTCTCTACTCTTTCTTGAGTTGTCATTTGTCCTTTTTTCCCCCTTTCTCTCTCCGCTCGTCTGCCTGTATCTCTCGCTCTCTCTCTTTCTCTCTTTCTCCTCTTGGAAGAGAACGTCTCCTTGGTCACTGTGCATTTTCTCATCTGTTTTCTCTCAGCTGAGGAGTGTGATGCTGACGGGCTGTTAGCATTGATGAAAGCTTTTATTTGAAAGTTCTTTATGAACTTCCCTCTACCAAACCGGCAGATTCCATCTTCATGCGTAATGCAGCATACAAAACAAATATACGATGTACGTCCGTGTCTGCACAAGCCAATTCATTTCCTATTCACATACGAAATGAAAACGTACAATGACAGCTGGGACCCTGCTGTTCACGTGGTGTATAACACTCACTCACACACACACACACACACACACACACACACACATCTCATGGGGACCTCAAAAATGTCCCCACAAGGTCAAAATTTACTAGTATTACTATCCTTGTGGGGACATTTGGTCCCCATAACGTGATAAATACCAGCT